AAAAAAAAGAACTCGAAAGATAATTTTTTGTAGGCCCCGAAATAAAGTGAAAACAAAAAGTGAAAAGAGAAAAAAAAAAACAAAATAGTGAGTGGGTGTGCACGTTTTGACACAGCCATCTTTGGCGATTTTTCCTTTTTTTTAGTCTTAGCAAACTGCCTTCAAAATGTTTAGGCATGTACCTCACAGCGTAAAGAATGCAGTAAACAAATTAAGAAAAAAAAAACAATAATATTTAGGTCCGAAAATATTTTTTGGTGGGGGCCGAACCCCTTCGGGTTCGGACCCTGAACGGGACTCCGAATGCCCGAACGTTCGGGGGTAAGCCCAGGGGCCCCCGAAAGTTTAGCCCAGTAACCCTGGTGTAGTTAAAAAAAAAAAAAAAAAAAAAAAAAGAAGAAGAAGAAGAAGGCAGCACAGCCACTTGAGGTTTGACAAGTCCAAAACTGGCCAGGTCATACCTTCTTTATGTCCCCAAACATACCCACTCGTCATCATTATTGTATTTTGACTGCAATAGGGTGTATTTACATTGGTGATGATCAGTGTTATGTTCGGGGCAAGAAGGTAGGTGAATTCGGGCTGGATCCTTCTATATCTTTTTTTTTTTTTTTTTTTTTTTTACCATCCCTTACGGGTGATAGTGATGCTGGTAGGAGCAGGCACCACTATCACCCCATTTAGCGGTATCCGCAAAGACAGTCAGGGGAGGCTCCATCTATTGGTGGGGAGCTTCACCTGCTGGAAACCGGGTTCGGCGTCCCTTTAACATCAGGTAACCCGAATTTGTTGGAGGAAAATGGATCAGAGACCTGTCAGCATTGGTTGCCCTGGAGTCCAGGGGATTGACTACACAGGTTATGGGACTTACTGTGACTTATTGACTTTTGCCTATACCATTCCGGGGTCTTGCTCAAGCAGGGACAGAAGGGGGGTTCGTAGGTGGCAATTGGAATGATGAGGATGGGGCTCCTTCCTCCAGGGGGCGACCGGATGAAGGGGCCCCATCCGCCATTCCCGGTGTCCAGCTATCAAACGCCTCTCCTGCCCAGGTTGAGTGGGCTGTCTCTATTCCCTACTCCCTACTGTACCAGCTTAATTCCATCAATGTGTAATTAGGGAAGGGGAAAGGGTCTGGGAAATCTGTGGGAGGGGGGGATCGTGGTCCAATCATTGAAACAGAGTCGATAATTCTTGTGTCTGGCTTCCAATCGATGATTGTCGTCTAGGTGCCAGCCATCCCATCGTACCCTTGTACCCTTGCTATCCTCCCCCCACATTCCTCTCCCAGCCAGTCCATGCAGAATTCATTTAGGTAGCGGGTGATGTCAGTCTTCTTAGAGAGGGGCTTTGTCAACTGTACTAGTCGTGTCCAGCGAGCCCTGATTGCTTTCTCAATTGTGTCCTTAATCATATCAGTCATCTCGCCCCTCCCCATATGTGTGCCATCGATGGTCAGTATGCAACGGCGCTTCCAGATGGCCCACAGCACCGCTTTCCTACCAATTGAAAACAGGTTAGAAGTGAAAACTGAGCCTTGGGCCGTCCAATGTCCGCAAAGCAGGGCTCTCCACTTTCATGGCCAGTCCGTCACGGTGTCAGTTTCGAGGACTGCCCATATTCTTGCGCACCATCGCCAGACAAGCATTGAGGATGGGCATTGCAAGAAAAGATGTTCAATTGTTTCATTTACCTTGTGGGATGGAAAGCCCTCCAGGCAAGCCGTGCACCATGGGAGGGCCGTACCTTTCTGGTCCAGGCTAGAGTAGTCAATGAGCCATGCATTTGTGGGGAGGCAGCAGTGGGCAATTTGCCATTGCACCGAGGCCAGTTTGACGGGTTTACACTTAGTCTGGCGTCAAAGTGTAAACCCTTCAACACTCTCACAATGTGAATAGCTAGTCAAAACAC